GGCTCTTGTGAATAATGCTGCTGTGAATATTCATGTGCAAGTCTTTGTATGGACATGTTTTTATTTCTCTTGGGTATATACCTGGGAATGGAATTTCTGGGTCGTATGGTAACTCTATGCTTAACCTTTTTGAGAAACTGCCAGGCTGATTTCCAAAGCAGTTGTGCCATTTTACATTCCCAGCAGCAGTGTAGAGGGTTTTCTCTGGTGCTTTTAATATTCATCCAGAATTTAAAACCACCTAACTGGATGATATCTGAGTGGCCCTGTTTCTACAATTCTATGATTTTTTTTTTTAAATCCAAGATTAGATCCCCAGGGCTGCCCACAGAAGCCCACGTCACCCAGAACTTGGCTGAGCTGTAGAGTGTATGCTTGGTTCCTCAGAGCACCCTGATAACTCCCAGCCTTAGTTTTAAGAGAACGCCGTGTAAGTTCTGTCTTCCAGCTCAGGACCCTCCCCCATCCCTGCCCTGTGCAGGTCATAGTTCTGGCGATGGATTCTGGAGGATTATTCTGAATAATCATACTGTTATTATACTAAATACTATAACTATTATAATATAATAATTAATATAACAATGGTATAATAATATTATAATTATTATAATGTTATAATATTATACTTATAAGCCTCAATTATTATCCCATTTTTCAGTATGCAACGCATTTTGATTGAGCACCACGTGTCTGGCCTGCTGGGATCCCAGAGTCAGGGAGGGGAGAGGTTCTGGTGGGATTAGGCAGGGCTGTAAAAGTCCCCCAACCATGCATCTGCAGAGCCGTGTCCACCCCTAATGCAGTCAAGAACATCCCATATGACACAGGCCCCCCCAGTAGGAACACTAACTTTTCTAGAGTTGGAAGTAGGATGGGAGTAGGGGCTTCCCCCAAGAGAGGGGAAGAGAAGAAACTAGATCTGGTTCAGCTTCTCACTTCACACCTACTAACAGGGCACGTTACTCACCTTCACTAAGTCCCACTGTAAAAGGAGGTGGCACCAGCTTCCTTGCAGGGTAACCGTAAAAGAAAATCATTAAAGCGCCTAGCACGTGCTAGGCACATAGCAGCCCCCTTCTTCCACACCAGATCCTTTCAACTGCCAGCTCATGGAAGCAGGGGCTGATGTCTACATACCCCTCGTCCATCACCCTCTGAAAACCAGGACTTGTGACCTCCTTTCCAGAATGCCAGAAGCCTGGTGAATCTAAGTCTCTATTGACGGTGAGCACAGAGCTGGCCTCATCTCCTAAACCTTAGCCACTGGGCCCCGAGGCTTGTGGGCTGCTGAGTGCTGCCCAACCCCCTGTGTGGGCTTGACCACCTCTGAGGTCCCTGTGGACAGGACAGCTGCACAGCCCCAGTGGCTGCCATTTACATCATAGTTGATGTGAATATCACCTCCTGGAGTTCTGCAGGGAACAGTCCTCGAGGCCAGGAACAGTGATTTCCTTAACAGACCCATAACCCCACACAGTGCCATAAGTTAGGATCTCCAGGATGGTCCTCCGTGTGTCTGAGCTGAGAAAACGCCCAGGTCATACCACGCCTGCTTATGAATCTTTGCTTTTCTAGAAACTTACTCTCAGAGATCCAGGCAGCTTCTCTGACCCTCTGTTTCTCTTCCCATTTGTCTCTTTCTCATTCTTCCCCAAAAGTCATGGTAAAGTGAAAATCACACGTTATTAAATACAATTTATCACTCTCTGCACATATTATTTATTTCCCTGTTTAACTTTTCACTCTGGGTTTCCTGGAAATAAAACACACACACACACACACACACACACACACACACACTTTTAACTCGGAAAGACAAGAAGGTACGTGAGACTACAGCTTCATTCCAGGTCTGCGGCAGACATCACCCATCAATCACAGCACTCTTTCCTCCTGAGCTGGCACAACCTCAGAATCCTTTTTCCTTCTACATTGCAAGCAGAGAGTGAGCATCAGTTGGAGATCGCATGGGAGATGATGTCTGTTTACCATTCCTCAGAAATTCTTGCTCAGAACTTTGCACCACTACCTACAGCCCTGAATGTACCCCAGATCTCTACTATAGGACATCTTGCTCCTTGGGTGTTCATTCTCACATTCAGTGAAACCCGTTTGAAGCTCAATCATAGTTTTCCCTCCTCCAAGCAGCCTTTACTCCCAGCATCCTTTTTTCAATTAATGGCATGCCATTTGCCTGGTCCTCCAGGCTAAACAATTCAAAAATTTCTGACCCCTCCATGTCTCTGTGTTCTCCCCTTCTCAAATCCTGCCAGTACCCCCCATCCTGTCACTCTCTTCCTTTCAGTGTTTCTCTGGTTTGTCTCTGCTGCCTAGACCATTATAGTCCCCATTCAGACCTTTAATAGGCTGGCTGCAGTGTGGAAGGAGGGCGGGGTAGAAGATGAGCCTTGATGTGTAAAGTGTCCCAGGCAGTAGGGAATTTTCTCTGTTCTGAGCTCCCAGTCTCTGTGCCTCCTTAGGACAGATATTATTTTCAACATATTTGAGACACAGGAAAATAATGCCCATGGGATTTGCAGTTCACACCTTTGTCGTCACATCCCAGCTCCACAGCTTCCATTCATCCTTCCTCCCTCTCTCCCTGCTTCTTTCCTTTTCTCCCTCCCACTTTCCCTTCCTTCCTTTCCTCATATATTTATGGAGCACCAATTATGTGCTAGTCAAAGTCTCTACATGTATACAGTGGGATATTTAGTGTAAAATAGGTATCCCAGTGCCTGGGATAGAGCAATTACTGGATAAATAGGTGGGGGAAAGGCTGATTCTCAGACCTGGAAATGCACCAGAAATCACCTGACCCTGTCACGTCACAGAGGAGGAAACTGAGGCCCAGAGCAGCTGTCCGAGGTTCCTGCACAAAGGTGGGCCGAACTAAGACAAGAAGCCAGGCGTCTCGATGACAACTTGGTGCACGTTTTGCTGCCACCATTACTGCCTCCACGAGGGGGGTGGGTACCCTTGGTTATGTTTCAGGTTGGAGAGGTGAAGCTGGACTCTGAACCCAGAAGCCAAAGTCACGCCTTCTTCCACATTCTTACGCACGCACACACAAGCGCGCACGCGCACGCACATGCACACACACGCACACACACACGCACACAAAATGTGACACTGTCCTGAGCCAAGTCTCCAGAAGGCAGCCAGGGTGGACCAAAGACCCACCCAGCTCACGGGAGAACGTGGGGACAATGGTGCTGTTTCTTCCGGAAAGCATCCTGCATCTGCAGCAGAGGCCTCCTCTGTACCTCCTTCCCCCAGCGCCCACATGCCAGGCCTGCAAGCCCTGCCTGCCCTGCTGGGTTTAGGGATGAGGAAGGACTCCAGGGGACAGAAAGAGGTGAAAGGCATAAGGATGGGAAGGACTAGGGTGTAGAGAAGTAGGAGATGAGCTGAAAAGGTCATGGGAGAGGATCACAGGGGTGCCGTGAGTAAAGGAATTTGGATTTTTTCCACGGAGCGTCTACAGAGGGCTGAAATTGAGTGTAAAATGTTGCATCTTGGTGCCTTTTTCTTCAGAGAAGTTCCGTAGTTTTCTAGATTTCCAAAGGGTCCTCTATCTTAAAATGGTTAGGAATCACTAGTAACAGAGAGGTATTCCAGCTCCTGGAGTGAGGAGTGCCACACTCTAGAACGTAATCAGAACAGCTCTCTGGCTAGTGCTCTGTGGAGGATGGGCTGAAGGAGGAGTAGAGGCTGGGAGAGCTTTGGGAATCTGTTTCAAGAGCCTTAGGGCAGTAATAACAGGAGGAGCAGTTGGAATTAGAAGATGTCGTAGCAGTACCATTAATAGGTGCTTTCTGCCTGGTGGGGGTGATGGAGAGGAGGAGAAAGTGACTCCAAGACTTACAGTTTCTATCATAATCTTGTCGTAGGATGTTTAACAAATTATTTTTTAATTTGATGATTGCCTTTGACTTCCTCCTCCCACTTAGACGATTTCTTTTTTTTTTTTTTTTTTGTAAGTTTTTGGGGATAGGGGTTTATTAATTAATTAATTTATTTTTGCTGCTTTGGGCCTTCATTTCTGAGCAAGGGCTATCTCTAGTTGTGGCAAGTGGGGGCCACTCTTCGTCTCGGTGTGCGGGCTTCTCACTATATTTAAAAAAGAGTGATATGTCTGATGTTGAGTACTAATGTCATGACATTTAATGGTCAAATATTAGTTATCTCTCATCTATCCTGATTTTGTCGTCTTGAATAGTATAAAGTAATAGAAATAAAATAAATATCACTTTCTAGAATATGTAGGAATGCATGTTTTAAGGAATGGGTAAGAGTCCATCTATGATTACTAGCTTGCTTTAAGGAATAAACATCATTCATTTCATCAAACAAGATTGGGGCTGACCTTCTTGTTCCCCAGCATTCAACTGGATTATTTTTTTTTGGCTGCGTTGGGTCTTCATTGCTGCACACGAGCTTTCTCTAGTTGTGGCGAGCGGGGGGCTACGCTTCGTTGCGGTGCGCGGGCTTCTCATTGTGGTGGCTTCTCTAGTTGCGGAGCACGGGCTCTAGGCGTGCGGGCTTCAGCAGTTGTGGCACATGGGCTCAGTAGTTGTGGCTCGCAGGCTCTAGAGCACAGGCTCAGTCGTTGTGGCGCACGGGCTTAGTTGCTCCGCGACATGTGGGATCTTCCTTGACCAGGGCTCGAACCCGTGTCCCCTGCATTGGCAGGCGAATTCTCCACCACTGCGCCACCAGGGAAGTCCCATGATGTCTTTTTTAAAATAGAAATTATTTCATTTGAAACTTAAGGATTTTTTTAAGGATTAACATCTCTGATATATACAAATTTCCACTTTCTGCTTTTCCTTTGAGTGCAGTGTTGCCTTTGTGTCCTGTTCTACAATAACCCTGTGGATCTGTTTGTTGAACCTATTTCTCCTGGTTTTCAATGCTTGGAGAACATCTTTTAAAGTACGGACAGGAATATCAAGACTCTTTGCTTTTCTGAATCCTGACTTTTACACCCTCTGCAGCTACCCGCTCCCTTCCCCAGGGCTCAGCAGCTCGGAACGGCTGCCTTTTGGCCTCGAGGAGAATGGGGGCACACCGTTTGCCACCAAAGCTTCGGGAAGGCACCACCATCACCACCACCAGCACCAGCACCACACTAACTATGGCCTCTCGCTGAACCTAGAGAACAAGGAGGGGCCTTTGAGGTCCCCAAACTCCAGCAGTAAATCGCTTACAAGTGAGTAGGGGTGTAGGGGGCAGGGTGGGGGAGTGATGCTGCAGGGCATGTGCGGCTTTCCTAGGTGCTCAAGACAGCCCCTTGCAGCGCAGCTCAGAACAGTGGTAATGTCTGTGCTGGGTTATCAGGTCTGGGCAAGAGCTGACAAGAGCCTTGTGCATTAGGCAGGGGCCACTTAGAAATTATGACTTACCAGCAAACTGTGATTTCGTTACAAGAGAGCAAATGTCTCTCCACCTCATTCCGTGCTGGTTCTCTGCTTCTGCCATATCCAGCACTGGCTCAAGCAATGGAACAGAGACACACGGGAGTGAGGTGGCTGGAATCTCTAATTTCCAACCACAAGAAAGCCCATTCTGTCCCATTTCTGGCATCGCACGTTTCTGAGCGCAAGGTGTCAAGTAGATCTAGTGCACACTGTTAAAGGTCCCAGCGAGAGAAATTACGGAAATGGAGAGTAAAGCAAATTAGAAACGTTTCTAGCAACTTGACAGAGCGATTTTATACCTGTTAAAACTAATTAAAAATGTGGGCTTGGATTTTGTATGACTGTTCTTTTATTCTTCTAGAAAATCATTTTTATTATATTTTATCAAAGAATTGGTCTGTGATAGGAGGTGGGGGAAGAACTTGCTCTTTATCACATATGGTTCGAAAAAGTGCCAAGGCAGAGGCAAGAGTCAAGAGGCTTCGATTCTAGTTCTCACTGTTGAGCCAAGTCCCCACTTGGATCCTTGGTTTTCTCGTCTATGGAATGTGGTGGAGGGTATTGAGAAGATGGCCAAGGAGTCTTCCAGGTCTGATATTTCATGAGTCTGTGGGCTGGTGAAAAGGATGAGCCATTGAACCTTTACCTGTAGATCACAGGGAGCAATTCTGGGTTGGCGGAGCTAGAAATGGGAACTCATCATCCACTTGGTGTTGAAAAATCAGTCCTTCATCACTATCCGCACTGCCCTGGCCCTGGGCCAGGCCTCATCCTTTTGTATCTGGACAACTATAACAGACGTCTACGGGCACCTCCTCCAGTGGAGTCTCCAAATTGTAGCTGCTAAAGCGAGAGCACTCACCAAATAGCTCTGACCAAATGCCTTAAGCCCTTTCCATGGTACTTCACTGTCCTGGGATACAGCCAACACTTCTGAGCATGGCCACACACAGACCTTCACAGCCTGGCCCGTGCCAAGGTCTCCAGCCTTCCCCCACACTCCTCACTACACTCTAGGTACGTGGAACTCCTCTCCTCTCATGAAACACTGTGCCATGTCCCAGCTCTGTCATTTGCACCTGCTGTTCCCTCTGCCTGGAATGCTTTTCTCCACCCTAATGAACTCCTACACATCCTTCAGGAACCAGCTCAAAGGTTGTCAGTGAAACTTTCTCTTACACCCCTCCCCAATTCCTGGCTTTGGAGGGCCCTCCCTCTTACTCTATATAATTAAATAAATCTTTGGTCGCTCTTATTGGGGGTATCTGCACAGGCATCTGTCTCCCCCACTGGACTAGAATTGTATCTCATTTATCTCTTTATTCTAGCTTCCCAGATCCCAATTGCTATGAGTACTTGGCATAAACTTTAATATGTAATGAATGTTGAATATTTAATGAATATTTAATGTATTAATGGATAAAAACAAGCTAGTGGGAGGAGTGGTGGCGAACTAATCCAACTTTCAGAAATCAAAACCAGTGAATTTGATTTTAGAAGCATAACATGGTGTTTAAGGGCACATTCATCTGTCTGTTAGCCTGAACACTAATCTTTCCCATTTGCATAGTGCTTTTCCATTAATAAAGCATTGGCACATGAATTACCTCACTTAATATTCACAGCAGCCCTGCAAGGTAAGTAATTTTATTTTCATTTGAAAATGGCTGAGAGGCTCAGAGAGGTAAAGTAACCTGCCCAGGGCCACTGCTCATATTTGGGAGAGTTAGGCCTTGACACCTTGACCTTAAATGTTTTCACATCCCATCTGCTAGTGCATTCCCCAGAGATTAAAGCTGCCAGAGGAGAAGCCAGACAGAAAGGCACTGGGAGTCGGGCTCTGGCAAGCATCTTTTATCACCTATATCTCTCTGCCCTTTCAACTTTTCCTTATTCACTTGCAGAACTGAGTCCAGGAGCACCTGCCCTGTTCAGCGAAGCCGCTGCCCATCTAAAGAAGCTGGAACTGGAAACTGTGAAGGCTGCTGGACCCTGGCCTGCTCTTCACATCAACATAAATAAGGTGCCAAGGACTGGAGCTGGGCAATGAGCATGGACCTGGGGTTCACTCAAACCTCTCATTATTACCCTGCCTGCCTCCTAAACTATGTGCCTTTGTCTTGGAGGGATTTCTACTCAATCTTTTTCTGCTCAGCATGTCTCTTAGGAGCAGAAATTCACTTACATTCTTTTTGGGTGGATTACAGCACTAGGGGCTGCCCCCAGTACTGAGGCCCAACAGGCTGGATCTGTTAGTGGTCTCTCCATCCTTCTAACTGAAAGGTCCATGAGAGAAGCATCCACATTTACCTCTTTCCGTTTTTACCCCTCTGTATTAGTCTGCATTGGCTACTATAGCAAATTACCATAGACCAGGTGGCTGAAACAACAGATATTTATTTCTCACTGATCTAGAGGCTGGGAAGTCCAAGATCAAGGTGCCAGATGACTTGGTTCCCTGGTGAGAGCTCTCCTCCTGTCTTGGAGCTGGTCGCTTTCTCACTGTGTTTTCACTTGCCAGAAGAGAGGGATCTTTCTTTCTTCCTCTTCGTAGAAAGCCACTAATCCCATCATGAGGGCCCCACCCTCATGACTTCATCTAAATCTAATTACTTCTCAAAGGCCCCATGCCAAATACCATCACAATGGTGGTTAGGGTTTCAACATACAAATTTGGAGAGAACACAGTTCAGTCCCTAGCACCCTCTATCTCACTCAGACAGTACCTGGCACATCATAGATGTTCAGTAACTGTTTGATAAGGGAAGGAAGGGAGGGATGGAAGTAGGGAGGGCGGGCGGAGGAAGGGACAGGGCAGAAGCCAAGCTCTCTTTTGGCTAGACCTGTTCTTATATCCAAATGAGTAGCCTTATAAAAGCCAAGTTTTATCTTAGAACTGTAGAAAGCTGGTGCTGAATTCAATCTGTCATTTAGTTCAGGCTTTTCTACATCTAAGACCAGAGGAAAGGCAATGGCTTTCCCAAGGTCACAGAGCAGTGGTGAAGCCTTGGGCTCCCGACTCCTGGTCCAGTGCCCTTTGCACTCCAACATGCTTCTTCATTTTCTACACCAGGATTTCTCAGCATAGGCCCTAGTGGCATATTGGCCTGATAATGTTGTGTGAGGGGCTTACCTGTGCATTGTAGGATGTTTTACAGCACCCCTGGCCTCTCCCCACTCGATGCTAGTAGAACCCCCATCCAACTAAAATTGTCTGCAGACATTGCCAAATGTCCCCTGAAGGGTAGAATTTCTCCTGGTCGAGATCCACTGTTGCACACATATTTTAATTTTTAAAATCCCCATAGGAATAGTATTCTTTACTCATGGGTCATTTTTTCCCACTCTAATGCTTAGCTTTGTGCCTTTATAAGAGGGAATAGGAGGAATTTGGAAGATCTGGCCTGGAAAGCTCCTCCTCCTTACCTGCACTGGTGAACATGGGAAGGTTATACCTCCTATCAGGGCTGTTCCTCCACCCCAGACATCCCTGTAGCCTGCACTACACTTCCAGCATTTCTCAGAAGACCCTCCACTCCCTTGCAATCCCATACCCCAGCAGGGCAGCCTAAAGTCCCTCTGATCACTAAAGGGCCCCAACTTCAAGACACCCTGTTCACCCACTTTTTCTTTGATACTACCCTCCCTGATAGCCAGCTAGAAAAAAATTCCTCCTGCAGGATGGCACTTATATTCTTTCAGTCAACAAATCTTTATTGAGCAGGCCTCTGCTAGGTGTTGGGAGTCAGCCTGATGGATTGTGTGTCCCTGGATTTGTCTTCTCTCTCTTAGTATCTTGACTGTCAACTTTTCTTCTGCAGTCCACACAATAAATTGTTTTAACAGGGACTTACCTGGAGTTTGGCAAAATCCAAAAATATTTTGCAGGGAAGTGTAGCATACGGTAGCAGAGAACTCACAAGCTCTAGGTAATTAGTAGTTGCACAGATATTGGTGGGACATCAACAATAATGGCTTGCTCTGGGTTAAGATGTAGCTGAGACAGCTGTGAGTTATTGAGCATTTCCCTGGCGCTCAAGCAACAACACCCCCTCTTTTCTTCTCCACTTGAAGAAATGCATCAGTGAGCAAGTAGGCCAGAGTGATGTCAGATAACCTTGACTTTGTCCTAATGCATAAGCAAAGTATATTACTTCATACTATGATTCTTTTTTTTTTTTTTTTTTTTTGCGGTACGTGGGCCTCTCACTGTTGTGGCCTCTCCCGTTGCGGAGCACAGGCTTCGGACGTGCAGGTTCAGCGGCCATGGCTCACGGGTCCAGCCGCTCCACGGCATGTGGGATCTTCCCGGACCGGGGCACGAACCCGTGTCCCCTGCATCAGCAGGCAGACTCTTAACCACTGCGCCACCAGGGAAGCCCCATACTATGATTCTTTATCATTAATAAAACAATCCTCACAACTTATCATTATACCACAATTGGGAACCAATGGTTTTGATGGCTTTTAAGGTTTTTTGCAGTCTGAAGAATCCTCTGATTCTTCTAAGGGTTGGATATGTTAATGGTGAGAAGACATTTGGTTGCCCAATTCCAAAAGCGTACCCAAAATTATCACAGGAATTTAAATCTCATCAGATTTCAAATGTGTAAACAATTTGTATCAACAAGTGAAAACTGCATCTGATCATTTCTTTATCCCCAAATGACATCCTCAAGCAGAAGACCATTTCCAATTATAATAATATCAAAGCCCAATTATCATTCATTTGTATGTTTTGAAATCTGTATTTCCATATTGAATGATAAAGCCTCTTTCCTCAATTCAAATTGAATGTAAAATACAAAATATGGCCATGCAAAAGAGAGAAAGCACAGCATTCTTGGTGCCATCCTCCAGGCTGTAATTATGGTCTTGTTGTAATCCACATGTTTATCCCTCATAGAGATGCCTTTTATGCAAACATATTCATGTAATAACACTCAGATTTTCCAAAATTTATATTGGTCTTCACCTGAGTCAAGTTATAGAGCTGAAAGGTAGCTCCTTCTTTTCAGAACAAGCCAGCTTGAATTTTATATCCAAAAAGTAGTTTAGAATTAATAAATTCAAGGGGAAAATCAATGCTAAATTCTCACTCTTATTTTAGCAGCATTCAATTTTTTTTTTTAAAGTAGGTCTTCGGTCATTACTGTCAGTATAACTATATCCCCTGAAGCAATTGTCAAAAATCTCAAATGGGCTTTAGAACCAGTTCAACTCTTGTATTCCAGCATATCATTCCAGAAAATTAGATCTAATTAAAAAATTAACTCATCATACACCAGTGAAAACACCCATGCTAGTATTATCTTTTATATATCTTTTCAACAATTATCTTAATGTAACAGGATTTACATGTACAAGATAAATTATACTAAAACTATACTGTAAATAATAAATAAGTTACTGTTTTGTTTTGTTTTAGAGAATGCTAAGTCTCTTAGGATCCTGACTCCATTCAAAACAGTCTATTGTCTTTATACTCAGCTTGATAGCTTAGGATCATTAGTGTCCTCATATCCGATGCTCTCTTTGTAGTTATATATTTTTTTCTAACCAAAGAATCTAACGTGAAAGTGCCATTCATATCCTTTTTGCCCATGTGATTGTCATGAAAATCTTATGAAGAAAGAAACAGCCTCAGAAGGGTTAAAGGGAGCCATGGTGGCTGGTGGTAAGGGGCTCTAGCTTTGGAGTCACCCAGTCTGGGTGTGAATCTTGGCTCTTCTGTGTACTTCCTGTGTGACCTTGGGCAAGTGACTTGCCATCTCTCTGCTTTGTTTTTCTCATCTATAAAATGGGGTGGTGATAGTATCTACCTTCAAATGGGATGGTTAAATGAGAGGATTCAATGAGATGTGCATATGAAATCCTCCCCCCCGCCCCGCCCCTTACCCTCCTTGTCCTTCATCGCCATCACCACCACCATCATCATCATCTTGTTTATGGTGCTAGTAAGGGTAAGAGCTGAGATTCGAATACAGGTCTTCTGTCTCTGCTTATTTTACTGTTTTGTGAAATTGCTGGGTTCAGCTTGTTCTGCCAGATTCCCTCCATATGTTTGGAGGTCCTGCTGGGAAACTGCACTCTCTGCCCTCTTTTCTTTATTCAATGATATCAACCAACCAGTTGCCCTATGCTTCCTCTGGAGCGTTCATAAAACCCCTAGTATGTGTATCAAGGTGCTCAATAGGACTTTTGAATTAGTGAATTAGATTAATTTGGGAACTTGCAGAATTGGAGGCCTTTAGAACATTTTGTTCTTGCCCTGGTACATTGTGGCAAATGTGCTGTATTAAGTCACTAAATTGACTTTTAGAAATCATATGGTCTTGTATCTTTCTTCTTAAACACATATCTTCCAATTATAACTATATATTATTATAATCTTCTTCAGTAGACATGTATTAAGCACCTGCTATGTGCTGAGCACCATATTAGCACTGGGATATACAATGGCCACAATAAGCATGCTTAACAATATGACATTATTTCCCAGAGTGTGATGTGTGTACCCTCAAAGATGATTTCAAGTTATATACATGGATGAGTATTTTTTAATAGTTACATAATTATCATAATTTATGTCATAATAAATATAATAGCCACCAAGTCTATGATTTCAAAGATACTATTGCTTAGGACACACTTAAAATTGGTAGTCCCAGCATAATCCACCTTAACTGGATTGTATGAATTATAGGTACATGTTTAGTTAATACATGAGAAATGGCAAAAGTAGCAAAGGTGGTACCAGGTTATTGAAGTCTGAGACACTCTAAAATGAGGCAACATAGATACAAATTTCTCATTGAGAATCACAATTTTCAGCAAGATTATTGTAAAAATACCAATTAGTATTTTGTACTCTT